CTGCCCCACGGAAGCCCCGCCCACCTTCCAGTAGCTTCTCATTCCTATGGGTCCCTAACCTGCCCCCTTTCCCCCTGCCCCACGGAATCCCCGCCCACCTTCCAAAAGCTCTTCCTCCCCTTACCATGGGTCCCAGCCTGCCCCATGGAAGCCCCGCCCACCTTCCAGAAGCTCCTCCCCCTTACTATGGGTCCCAGCCTGCCCCACGGAAGCCCCGCCCACCTTCCAGAAGCTCCTCCTCCCCTTACTATGGGTCCCAGCCTGCCCCACGGAAGCCCCGCCCACCTTCCAAAAGCTCTTCCTCCCTTACCATGGGTCCCAGCCTGCCCCACAGAAGCCCCGCCCACCTTCCAGTAGCTTCTTCTCTTTCCTATGGGTCCCCAACCTGCCCCCCTTTCCCTCCCCACTTAATCCCCACTGCCCCACTGAAGCCCTGCCCACCTTCCAGAAGCTTCTCTTTCCTATGGGTCCCCAACCTGCCCCTTTCTCCCCCTGCCCCACGGAAGCCCCGCCCACCTTCCGGAAGTGCTCCTGGGCTTCCAGCAGCTTCTTCTTGCGGGAGGCGGAGCCGGCCAGCAATTGGTTCCAGCTTTTCCTCCCCACTGAAGCTCCACCAGGTGTGGGTCAAGGTTAGGGGTCAATGCTAGGGTTAGGGGTCAGCCTTAGGGCTCATCTGCCCCAAACCCAGACCCCCTTTCCCCCCCAACCTCTTTCCTATGGGTCCCAACCTGCCCCCTTTTCCTCCCCACTGAAGCCCCGCCCACAACCTGCCCCTTTTCTCCCCACGGAAGCCATTTCCTATGGGTCCCAACCTGCCCCCTTTCCCTCTTTCCCCCTGCCCCACAGAAGCCCCGCCCACCTTCCAGAAGTGTTCCTGGGCTTCCAGGCGCTTCTTCCATTTCCTATGGGACCTACCCCTTTTTCCAATGGGTCCTGCCCCCCTTCTCCCCCCCCTGCCCCACGGAAGCCCTGCCCACCTTCCGGAAGCTCCTCCTCCCCTTACTATGGGTCCCAGCCTGCCCCACGGAAGCCCTGCCCACCTTCCAGAAGCTCCTCCCCCTTACTATGGTTCCCCCTCCCTGCCCCATGGAAGCCCCGCCCACCTTCCGGTAGTGTTCCTGGGCTTCCGGAAGCTTCTTCTATGGGTCCCGACTGGCCCCCTTTTCCTCCCCACTGAAGCCCTGCCTCTTTTGTCCCCACTGAAGCCCCGCCCCTTTCTCTCCCCACAGAAACCCCGCCCCCTTCCCATTTCCTATGGGTCCCATCCTGCCCCTTTTCTCCCCACTGAAGCCCCGCCCACAACCTGCCCCCTTTCCCTGCCCCACTGAATCCCCCCTGCCCCACGGAAGCCCCGCCCACCTTCCGGAAGTGCTCCTGGGCTTCCGGAAGCTTCTTCTTGCGGGAGGCGGAGCCGGCCAGCAATTGGTTCCAGCGCTTCGTCAGGGAGGCGGGTCCCCTTTTTCTCCCCACTGAAGCCCCGCCCCCTTTCTATTTCCTATGGGTCCTGACCTCCCCTTTTTTTCTCCCCACTGAAGCCCCACCCACCTTCCGGAAGCTTCTATTTCCTATGGGCCCCAACCTGCCCCCTTTTCCTCCCCACTGAAGCCCTGCCCCCTTTTTCTCCCCACTGAAGCCTTGCCCACCTTCCGTAAGCTTCTATTTCCTATGGGTCCCAACCTGCCCCCTTTTTCTCCCCACTGAATCCCCGCCCACCTTCCGGAAGCTTCTTCTTCTGCCCCCTTTTCCTCCCCACTGAAGTCCCGTCCCCTTTCTCTGCCCCCCTTTTCTCCCCACGGAAGCCCTGCCCACCTTCCGGAAGTGCTCCTGGGCTTCCGGAAGCTTCTTCTGCCCCCTTTTTCTCCCCACTGAAACCCTGCCCCCTCTCTCTGCCCCCCTTTCTCTCCCCGCCCCCCTTCCAGAAGCTTCTTCTATTTCCTATGGGTCCCAAACCTGCCCCCTTTGTCTCCCCATGGAAGCCCCGCCCACCTTCCAGAAGCTTCTTCTCTTTCCTATGGGTCCCAAACCTGCCCCCTTTCCCTGCCCCACGGAAGCCCCGCCCACCTTCCAGAAGTGCTCCTCCTCCCCTTCCTATGGGTCCCAGCCTGCCCCATGGAAGCTCCGCCCACCTTCCAGTAGCTTCTCATTCCTATGGGTCCCTAACCTGCCCCCTTTCCCCCTGCCCCACGGAATCCCCGCCCACCTTCCGGAAGCTCCTCCTCCCCTTGCTATGGGTCCCAGCCTGCCCCACGGAAGCCCCGCCCACCTTCCGGAAGCTCCTCCTCCCCTTCCTATGGGTCCCAGCCTGCCCCACGGAAGCCCCGCCCACCTTCCGGAAGTGCTCCTCCCCTTACTATGGGTCCCCAACCTGCCCCCTTTTCTTCCCCACTGAATCCCCCCTGCCCCACGGAAGCCCCGCCCACCTTCCGGAAGTGCTCCTGGGCTTCCAGCAGCTTCTTCTATGGGTCCCAACTTTTTCCCCTTTTCTCCCCACTGAAGCCCCTTTCCATTTGCTATGGGTCCCAACCTGCCCCCTTTCCCCCCCACTGAAGCCCCGCCCTTTTTCTCCCCACAGAAACCCCGCCCAGCTTCCGGAAGCTTCTCCTCCTCTTTCCTATGGGTCCCCAACCTGCCCCCCTTTCCCTCCCCACTGAATCCCCCCTGCCCCACGGAAGCCC